TTTGAATAAAGTTGAGCTCATGCTCTCGGGTGCTGTTATGAGCTCATGCTCTCGGGTGCTGCCGGCCTGGGAGGAAGGCCCATGGCGCCTGTTATTCAACATGGGCATACAGGTCCTGTAGCCCCAAAGAGCTGGGCTTTTTCTGCTAAATAAAACTCCCGGCCCAGAGAAAGAGACAATGACGTCAGCTCTCATAGCATCACGGCCATTGGGTTTGGGCATTGGGTTTCGGGAACGTCCAAGCAGCAAAACAAAACTCCCTCTGGGCAAGAGGCTGGAAATGATGAGACTGAGCAAGGTCTACAGAAATGGAGTACATCCCCACTCTGCATGCTTCTCTTCGCCTTGCTGCGGGGTAACGCTTGCCAAAGACCAATGGCTGGAGCCACACAAGGATTGAGGCTCAGCCTCTTCGGACCCGTAAGACCAACATTTTGGCACCGTGGAGAGCTTTAAAGCCCTCACTCAGTTGCAGCCCATCCCCACAGATGCACAGACTTCTCTCTAGCAGGAGTCTCAAAATGCACCTTCCACTGCTCACGCAGCCGGCGGGGCCCAGGCATAGGGGTGGGCTGAGTTCACCTACTGCATTAGGCCTTGCTGACAAAGATCAGGGAGGGGGCAACGTTTTTGGGGATTGGGTGTACATGTGCTGGTGTTAATGGTTGGGTTCCCTACCTGGGCTGAGCGGGCAGGCTGCGTGGAAGTTAGGTATTACAACACCCATGTCCTTCCCTGGTTTCAGCTGATGGCAAACATGGCGAATAAATACATTTTGCTAGCACTCTGCAGGGAAGCAGTAAAAAGGCTGCAGCTATTTTCTTCAGGTTGACAGATTTCCAGGCTCTCACAGCCAAGACTCGCACTCAGAGGCCTGTGTTGCATTAAGTCAATGGCTTGATGTACTTCTTGGGAAGACCTGGCCTCTCACTTGAAAGGCATCAGTGATTTGAGAGTCCATCACGTTCCTTGCTACCAGCCATTGGAGTCTGTTGATACCACGGCTCTTCTCCCGGGGGGGG